ATAAATTTCGACTCTCAATTCCCAGTAGAAGCGGAGATATGAACATTTAAATTCAAATTTCAATTAAAATTAACTTAAAATTTAAAAATGAAACCTTCGGTATCTCCTAAATGGCTCAAGATAGAGGAACGCGCTTTTGCCTCAATATAGTCCTGTATCAACCCTATTCTCACCATAAATCTCGACTCTCAATTCCCAGTAGAAGCGGAGATATGAACATTTAAATTCAAATTTCAATTAAAATTAACTTAAAATTAAAAAATGTAACCTTCGGTATCTCCTAAACGGCTCGAGATACAGGAACGCGCTTTTGCCTCAATATAGTCCTGTATCAACCCTATTCTCACCATAAATTTCGACTCTCAATTCGCAGTAGAAGCGGAGATATGAACATTTAAATTCAAATTTCAATTAAAATTAACTTAAAATTTAAAAATGTAACCTTCGGTATCTCCTAAATGGCTCAAGATACAGGAACGCGCTTTTGCCTCAATATAGTCCTGTATCAACCCTACTCTCACCATAAATTTCGACTCTCAATTCGCAGTAGAAGCGGAGATATGAACATTTAAATTCAAATTTCAATTAAAATTAACTTAAAATTAAAAAATGTAACCTTCGGTATCTCCTAAATGGCTCAAAATACAGGAACGCGCTTTTGCCTCAATATAGTCCTGTATCAACCCTATTCTCACCATAAATCTCGACTCTCAATTCTTAGTAGAAGCGGAGATATCGACGGATGAATGCTGGATATCGATAGAGAAAGGCTGGAAAATTTTAACCTTCGATATCTCCTAAACGGTTAGAGATACAGGCTTCGGACTGGTATCAAATTAAAGCCCTTTCAAAACCCTACATTTTGGACTACATGGACGACTCTCTACTCCCAGTGGAAGCGGAGATATCGACGGATGAAGGCTGGATATCGATAGAGAAAGGCTGGAAAACTTTAACCTTCGATATCTCCTAAACGGTTATAGATACAGGCTTCGGACAGGTACCAAATTAAAGCCCTTTCAAAACCCTACATTTTGGACTACATGGACGACTCTCTACTCCCAGTGGAAGCGGAGATATCGTCGGAGAAAGGTTGGAAAACTTTAACCTTCGATATCTCCTAAACGGTTAGAGATACAGGCTTCGGACAGGTACCAAATTAAAGCCCTTTCAAAACCTACATTTTGGACTACATGGAAGACTCTCTACTCCCAGTAGAAGCGGAGATATCGACGGATGAATGCTGGATATCGATAGAGAAAGGCTGGAAAATTTTAACCTTCGATATCTCCTAAACGGTTAGAGATACAGGCTTCGGACTGGTACCAAATTAAAGCCCTTTCAAAACCCTACATTTTGGACTACATAGACGACTCTCTACTTCCAGTGGAAGCGGAGATATCGACGGAGAAAGGTTGGAAAACTTTAACCTTCGATATCTCCTAAACGGTTAGAGATACAGGCTTCGGACTGGTACCAAATTAAAGCCCTTTGAAAACCCTACATTTTGGACTACATGGACGACTCTCTACTCCCAGTGGAAGCGGTGATATCGACGGAGAAAGGTTGGAAAACTTTAACCTTCGATATCTCCTAAACGGTTAGAGATACAGGCCTGGTTCTGGCACCAAATTAAAGTCCTTTCAAAACCCTACATTTTCGACTACATGGACGACTCTCTCTCCCAGTAGAAGCGGAGATATCGACGGAGGAAGGCTGGATATCGACGGAGAAAGGCTGGAAAATTTTAAACTGCGATATCTCCTAAATGGTTAGAGATACAGGCCTGGTTCTGGCACCAAATTTAAAGTCCTCTCAAGACCCTATATTTTGCCGTAAGTGACGACTCTCTGCTACCAGTAGAAGCGGAGATATCAACGCAGAAAGTTGGAAAACTTTAACCTTCGATATCTCCTAAACGGTTAGAGATACAGGCCTGGTTCTGGCACCAAATTAAAGTCCTTTCAAAACCCTACATTTTCGACTACATGGACGACTCTCTACTCCCAGTAGAAGCGGAGATATCGACGGAGGAAGGCTGGATATCGACGGAGAAAGGCTGGAAAACTTTAATCTTCAATATCTCCTAAACGGTTAGAGATACAGGCCTGGGTCTGGCACCAAAATAAAGTCCTCTCAAATCCCTACTTTTTCGACTACATTGACGACTCTCTACTCCCAGTAGAAGCGGAGATATCAACGAAAGGTTGGAAAACTTTAACCTTCGATATCTCCTAAACGGTTAGAGATACAGGCCTGGGTCTGGCACCAAAATAAAGTCGTCTCAAAACCCTACATTTTCGACTAGATTGACGACTCTGTACACTCAGTAGAAGCGGAGATATTAACGAAAGGTTGGAAAACTTTAATCTTCGATATCTCCTAAACGGTTAGAGATACTGGCCTGGGTCTGGCACCAAAATAAAGTCCTCTCAAAACCCTACATTTTCGACTACATTGACGACTCGCTACTCCCAGTAGAAGCGGAGATATCAACGAAGAAAAGTTGGAAAACTTTAACCTTCGATATCTCCTAAACGGTTAGAGATACAGGCCTGTTTCTGGCACCAAAATAAAGTCCTCTCAAAACCCTACATTTTGCCGTATATGACGACTCTCTACTCTCAGTAGAAGCGGAGATATCAAAGGAGAATGGTTGGAAAACTTTAATCTTCGATATCTCCTAAACGGTTAGAGATACAGGCCTGGGTCTGGCACCAAAATAAAGTCCTCTCAAAACCCTACATTTGCGACTACATAGACGACTCTGTACTTCCAGTAGAAGCGAAGATATCAAAGTGAAAGGTTGGAAAACTTTAATCTTCGATATCTCCTAAACGGTTAGAGATACAGGCCTGTTTCTGGCACCAAAATAAAGTCCTCTCAAAACCCTACATTTTGCCGTATATGACGACTCTCTACTCTCAGTAGAAGCGGAGATATCAAAGGAGAATGGTTGGAAAACTTTAATCTTCGATATCTCCTAAACGGTTAGAGATACAGGCCTGGGTCTGGCACCAAAATAAAGTCCTCTCAAAACCCTACATTTGCGACTACATAGACGACTCTGTACTTCCAGTAGAAGCGAAGATATCAATGTGAAAGGTTGGAAAACTTTAATCTTCGATATCTCCTAAACGGTTAGAGATACAGGCCTGGGTCTGGCACCAAAATAAAGTCCTCTCAAATCCCTACATTTTCGACTACATTGACGACTCTCTACTCCAGTAGAAGCGGAGATATCAACGGGGAAAGGTTGGAAAACTTTAACCTTCCATATCTCCTAAACGGTTAGAGATATAGGCCTGGGTCTGGCACCAAAATAAAGTCCTCTCAAAACCCTACGTTTTCGACTACATTGACGATGCACTCAACCATGTGTGTAATATTACATTTATATTGTTGAGTGCGAAATTTTAACATAAATATAATGTTCTGTGTCGACTAGGTTATTTCCTTCTCTAAATATTTTGGAAGCTTTGTTTCATGATAGTGTAGCTGTTCGAGATTCGAGCTGGAAGATTTGCCTATTTCTGAAGCGTTCTGGCAGAAGAGACAAGACCGAGAGAGACTCGTGATTACGCTCCACATGGCGCGTCGTGCGGCGTTATTTGCACTCCGGACAAATATTCGTCCACGAAAGCGGCCACGTCGGACACGAATGTCGGCATGGCCGCTCTCGGGCTTCTCTCTGGTGATATTGTTGTGCAATCTTTTGATTACGTCACATTGCGCACTGATGCTTTATTTCTTGCAGCTTTTGTTAGGTTTATCGTGTTGCTTCAACTTTTCGTACTTTTTATATCTAAGACGAGACAGAAGAATAGTCGAATGTTGAAGGAAGCAAGAAGAGGTGAGAAATGTTCAAGCGCAATGCAATAGACTTATTATAATAACGATACATTTATATAATATTTCTATGTCGTTAGTTACTTGTATCGCATTAGTAATCGAAATACAGTACGGTTTAAACGTCTGCGTTATCTTCATCGTTTAATTAAAATAATCGGTATTGTCATCGTTCTTCAAGTATTGCCATGTTGAACAACTCAGTTGTCGTGTAAAATGTTTCGATTTAACAAATTCATATAAAATGTTTCATTTTTCACTAATTGACAGTCTTTCATTTTCCAGTAGTTCACGCTAAGGAAATGATTCATGATCGCTGCCCTGAACAGCTGTAACGTTTCTCCAATCACCTATGTCGGCGCGCTCCTACTCCTCAGATTTCTATCATTAATAACTCAATAATTATTGTGAATCTCGCAAAACGGTATAGGACTTTTATGTTTGTCTCAATCCAGTCTACCTTCACACTTCGGGTTGGCAGCTAATTACCGGACCCTTTGTATGATCTTCATGATATTAATTATACATAATGGGTGCATTCAGTACTACAACCGCTCACTGAGCGCTCAATGAGCTTTTACATTTGATTGGGTGCATTCAGTACTATAACGGCTCATTGAGCGCTAAGTGAGCTCTTGCATCTGATTGGTATATACCTTTAGATTTAAAAATATACACTAATCAGATGTAAGAGCTCACTTAGCGCTCAGTGAGCGGTTGTAGTACTGAATGCACCCGTTGATATATTCTTTTAGATTTAAAAATATACACCAATCAGATGCAAGAGCTCACTTAGCGCTCAATGAGCGGTTGTAGTACTGAATGCACCCAATGTCAATTCTTATTTTTTTTGCACATGTTAACATGTTGATTCATATTAGAAACGCGTAACAATGTGCGACCGTGCTTGTCAAGTACGCTATTATGTTTGTAGCACGGACATAAACCGTTTGAAAGTGGATGTAGCACGGACTGCCATTACATGCAGGTTTTACCGCCAAGACTTGAGACATGAAAGTGGATGTAGCATTGTAGTTCTCTCAAAATGTGTGTAGATAGCGCCCTTTCTCAGTGCGGAAAGTCGGTGTCGCCGAAAACGCCGGTTTGGCCGCTCTCAACTTCCTCTTTAGTGCCAGGCTGCCAGGTCTGATTCCATTGGATCTGATCAAAACAGTAAACCACAGTGAGCGTTACGTGGATGCTAGGATGGGTGTTACCTAATTTAGCGTGCGAGATACCGATCAGTGCGCTCGAATTTTTGTTTCTTCTCATAGCGTCTTACTTTGCGTCGCGAGTCGCGACAAGAAGATTCCATTTTTCTCGACACATTATATCTTGTGCAGCGTAACACGAAACGAGCAATATGCCGGTCTTTCATACCAAGACTATCGAGAGTATCCTCGAGCCCGTGGCTCAGCAGGTAATGAAAGTGTCAACACATTCCTATTATCGTCATCCTGTCAACTGTCACCGAAGTAACGTCGAGCTGAAAATTGCATTTTCGACGACAAATTATTTTCCCATTTGTCCGAAATTTTTTAAGGGATAGACTGACTCATCTGATCAGGAAATGCTACGCACTACTCCCGTACTGTTTGTGCGGATATTTGCGAAATATTTGACATATCCAAGAAATGACACGTATATATATCTCGTTAAACAAGCAAACTCGTTCGTCAGTTATATAAATGGATTATTGTATTATGTATCCGCGACACTTGTACGACATGATATTGCGCGCGGGCTCGTACTCTCGACTGTACTTAGCGCTAATTGTAGCCATTTAAATCTACTTTTTATTTCCTGTCGCCGTAAAAATCGCAACTAACATCGACTAACATACGATGAAAATCAAATGGCTACGCTTGGCAAAGTGGCGAGAATATGAGACTGTTTATATTTGCTATGAGTCAAATTTATGGAGTAAGCCTCTTGTTTTATCTAGAATGCTTTATATAGAACTATGACATCATACCCTGCATATAGGACAGAGGTACTAAATCTATCTTTCACACATCCGTGGTTTCTGAGATGAAATTTAATCCCTATTGGCTGTTATGTATGAAAATATTCCAGTGTGTTGTTAGTCCCACATGTCCAAAAAAGGATACGCTGGTGGCAGACATGGCATCCCACACACTCACGCATATTAGAATATTAATGAATCAGCTTTTATTTTATAATTGGTTATATCTTCGATATTTAATTTGCATATATACCTGTTCCCGTTGATGTTACCAAAAATTTCTATGTCTATTTTATTTATATATTTTATATTTTAAATTATACATATACATATATATATTTTTTTGTCGTATATAAACATAAAAATAACACGTAGATATTATTAAAATCTATCTTATTTATATATTTATTTTAAATATATATGTTTCAAATATAATGTTACACACACACACACATACATGCACATATATATACATATTTGATATAAGCATATATATGACATCTTTCCTCTCAGTCAAGTCTTAGTTTAAAAGTATTATAAATTTCTACTTTTAAGAAGCAAATTTATTTCTATTTATTATTAAAGTAATTAAAATAAAATAAAATTAAAAATATTTTTTGATTATGATATATGATCAGAATGATATAATAATGTATAAATAATAATAATAATGTAATAATAATGTATAAATCAGAATGAAGTGAAAAACTTTAGACTAATACTTGAGTTTTAAATTAAATTGTCAATATATATTATTATACAGAGTATATAATAATAGAATACACACATATATATATATACACAATCTGATATATATATATATACACAATCTGATATATATATATATATACACACACACACATATATAATAATATGTAATGTATATAATGAGACTAATAATAATAATTACAATTTCTAGGTTTCTAGGCTTGTTATTTTACATGAAGAAGCTGAAGATGGTAATGCGATGCCAGATTTGGGACGGCCTGTACAGGCTGTCAGTATGGCTGTAACCAATCTTGTAAAAGTAAGTTAGTTAACATATATAGCACAAGAAATTTGTATATGAAAAATAATTTGGTTTTATAAATTTATTTTATTTCTGTCTCTCATTTTGATAATTTGTTGTATTATATCCATCATTTTGATTAATAGGTTGGAAAAGAAACAATAAACTCGTCTGATGATGCATTACTCAAGCAAGACATGCCAGCGGCGCTACAACGTGTTGAGGGTGCTTCTCGTCTTCTAGAGGAAGCATCAGCCATGTTGAAACAAGATCCATACTCTGGCCCTGCCAGGTAGTTCTTGAGATTTTTATATAAATTCCTTTGTAAGTTTATTGTAACGAATTTATACTTTTGTATCTTCTTAGGAAGAAACTCATAGAAGGGTCACGTGGTATTTTACAAGGTACTAGCTCTTTGCTTCTCTGTTTCGATGAGAGCGAGGTACGGAAGATTATACGAGAATGCAAGCGTGTATTAGATTATCTGGCTGTTACTGAAGTTATCGAGACGATGGAAGATTTGGTCCATTTTCTTAAAAACTTAAGCCCGTGTCTTAGCAAAGTATCGAGAGAAGTGAGTGCTCGCGAGAAAGAATTGACACATCAAGTGCATAGGGAGATATTAGTGCGTTGTTTGGAGCAAGTAAGTACAGATGATCGCGATTGTATCATGATGTATTTTTTATCGCTTTTGACGTTTACGTACAAACCTTACATGTGTCATTTTGGATGTAAAACTTAAAAAAAGAAAAAATTATACTTTTTGAACAGGAAATTTTTCAAATTTTTCAAAATTTCAAATATTTTTCTTTTTGCCTTAAGGTTTTGTATACTATATGTACCATTGAGAAATGTTACGAGAATTACATTTTGAGGCAATTCATACTGTATGCGATGTATTTATAGGTCAAAACACTTGCTCCAATTTTGATCTGCTCCATGAAGATCTTCATTCACATTATCTCACAAGGTGGGAAAGGCGCGGACGAAGCGGCGGAAAATCGCAACTACTTGTCCGGGAGAATGTCTGACGAACTGAATGAAATTATTCGAGTTTTACAATTAACGACGTATGATGAAGAGGAATGGGAAGCCGATCAGTTGACTGTAATATCATTTGATTTCATCATTGATACATCATTTGATCACACAGCTTATTCGGATAACGAAATTTTATATAATTTTATTATCGCCAGGTGTTGAAAAAAGCTCAAAGTGCCATAGAATCTCGAATACGGGCCGCTTATGATTGGTTGGACGACGGACTGGCTCTGAGAGGAGGAGTAGGAGAGAAGAGTCTTCGCCAGATAATAGAACAGGCGTCGCGTTTGTCGGAACGTTATCTGCCTCCGTCGCAGGCGGAACCCATGTCTAAACTGGCCTCTCAGATAATCACTATGACTGACGCTCTCTGCGAATTGCGTCAAAACGAAAAAGGTGATTTTAGGCTCTATAAGACTACATTACGTTAACGGATGCATTCGGCGAATGCAACAGTTGCGAAGCGATGAATTGAGCAAAAATAACCGTAATGCCGGTTTGGTAACAATTACCAACGATTACTTTATATATTTCTATTGATAAAATAATCGAGAGAATTCGTGTGATTTTGTTCACACTTATAAGAAATTATGTGCAGCGATTAGTCAAGCCCAATACGAACAAGCTCAATTCGAACGTAACTGTTGTATCCTGAAAGTCACAATTGTCCAAGCCAATGAACTTTATTCAGCTTAAATAACCGTATATATATATATATATGTATGTATACATATATTTATGAAGGCACTACACCGCAAGCGGAAGCCTTAGCACGCAGTATTAAAGAGAAATTAAACGAGCTCCGCGGCTCGGTAGCGTCCGCTTTGGTAGCAGCAGATAAATCGGGGACCGCACAAACAGCACACACAGTAGCAGGTCGTTTAGAGCAAGCGAATAAATGGCTTCTGAATCCGCAACACGATGACAAGGGACTCGGTAAAAGGGCTATAGCTTTAATAATACACGAAGGAAAGAAGGTATGATGTAACGAAGTCTCATGATCGTTTCGATCATTGTTAAACTCGATATGCGTACATGATAACTATTAGAAACGCGTTACCGCGTCTCACCGATTTCTTTTTTCTCTACACGGTAATACAAACTAGTAATTTTCATTCTACAATGCTTAATGTCTTCAATGCTGCGCATAGAAAGAATGAGCAACATAGTGAAAATGTGAGTTTGTAAATATTTCTCGTTATTCCCTTCCAATGTATACTGTTCGTTACCAGTGTTACAATGCGAAACAGTCATGCAGAGTGCTCCGAGCACCTTGCATTTTCTTCAATGTGAGATTTTGCGCGCGGTGCCACATATACATTTTCATAGAATAGAAAACTTCAAAAGTCCATTGAGCTTTGAATCAAAATTTCCGCCTGCAATCTAGTTCAGTAGAATTTTAAAATTCGATCTTTTAGCACGGAAAACTAATAAAATAAACTCTTCTGCTGAATTCCGCTGAAATAAATTACATTTGTTGTTACACACAGTTATTTCGTTATTTCGTAACTGCTTTAAGATTTTGTTATCTAGAGAAAATTCGCTATGTGTCTATTGCGATGTCTGTTGTGTGTTGATTATTTTCCGAGACTGCTCGCGAGACATTGATTGTCAGTTACAAAGTTGTGTCTACCAAATAGGTGGCCGAGGGTTTACCGGGTATACACAAGGCGGAGATTCTGCAACTGTGCGACGAAGTGGATAGTCTGTCGCATCAGCTTGCCGATCTGTGCGCCCACGGTCAGGGCAATACTCCGCGCGCTCAGGACATCGCCCGGCAGCTGTCTCACAAGCTCTACGAGTTGAAGAACAGAATACAACAAGCCGTTGTGTCCCGTGTCGTTGAAGATTTTATCGACATCACTACACCCCTCAAACAATTTACGGATGCCGTTTTGGCCCCCGTCGGCACACTAGGACGCGATCAGAACTTCAACGATAAAACTTACGCACTGCAGACGTTTTCTAACAGAGCGGCAAAGACAGCGAGGATGGTCGCGGCTGGCGGTGCGTGATGATTATTTTGACGGTGACATCAATCGATTGATTCTTTGATTGTGTAACGTTATCCGTGTCAACTATGAAAGTTATCGCTATCACCTTAATACTTTATTAAAAATAGCTGCATTGTTGCAGGAAGCGGTGGAAACAAAAAATTGGCCGAGGCGCTAGCCGCTAGTGCCTCGCAAGTGGAATCTCTGACACCGCAGTTGATCAATGCCGGACGAATTCGTATGACGTATCCGGACAGCAAAGCCGCAGATGAACACTTTGAGAATTTACGTCAACAGTATGCAGAAACGATGCAAAGAGCGCGAGCATTGTGCGACGAGGCGACCGACAGCGGCGACTTTATCAGGACCTCGGAAGAACAGATGCAGAAACATGCATTCCTTTGCGAGGAAGCCATAGCCAAGGCTCTGCCGCAGAAAATGGTCGACAATACGGCATCTATCGCACGTCTCGCCAATCGTGTCATACTCGTCGCAAAGCAAGAAAGCGACAATAGCGAGGATCCTGCCTTTATTCAGCGAGTAAATCATGCTACTGATGTTCTACAGAATAGTAAGTATATTTCAAGTATCTAAATATCTAGTAAAATATCTAAAAATCTAGTAAATAGTGACAATTATATTCATAATCTCGAATGCTAATAAGTGCATCTTTTACTTGAAATTTACTTTATATTTTATTATTAGACTTTCTCAACTTAACGATTACATTTAATATAGGTGTCGCTCCAATGGTACAAGATGCAAAATTAGTGGCAATGAATATCAACGACAGTACTGCGGTGTCGCACTGGAGAGAAAGCAATCGTGCGGTACGTATCTCTTGTGTCGATATAACATTTTTCATAAATCTGTAACTTAAATTGGCTAATCATATCCTTCTATATTTGGTTATCTTAGCTCCTGACCAATGTTGGACAAGTCCGTAAAGCCATTGTAGTCCAGCCGGATCTGTTGCCACCGTTGGAAGTTTCGCAGTTACATATTAATGATGGTAAGTTTTTTTATTTTGATAAGAGTATAGATGTGCTCTCCCTTTTCCATCCCGCGTGAAAAATCGATAATAATCTTTGAAGGTGAATTTTTTCCATCAGCTGAAACAAAATTATCCATAGATGGGTGATTGTTTTTTGATATTAAACACAATTGTAGCATCGTCTTTTTAGGGAAAATTGGGATCGGTAAGATGAAAGTAGTAATTATACTTGTTAATTTTTCTTTTACTACTCAGTAATCCTTGTAGAGGTTCATTATATAACTTTGTAGTTTATAGAAGTTTGTTTAAATAGATTGAAATATTTTATTGTGTCGCTAACAAACTTTCTTGCTTTTATATACATATTAAATATGTGGGTGAAGCATTAAACATAACTGTAAGTGTAGGCAGTGCTTGTATTATAGAACAACGATTTTGTCCCATCTATCAAAAAGTCATTTAATCGTATCGATGGTATCATATCAAATCATTATTTTGTTTCCGCATATTATCGTTCTTCAAGAATACTTTTTTAACTTTTATACATAATGTAAATATTAATTTTTATGTTATGTAACTAGACATAATGATGTAAATTACTCCAAACACATTCGGGAACAATAGCAAGGCGAGCGCGTAAAATAAATAGAATAAGTTTGTATAATATATTTTTTACAGATGAACAAATTCCAACTCTACAATATAATTACACCAAAGATAAAGGTATCTCTTTCAGCATGAAATGACTTATGCATGATTGTTTATACATACAATTTCATACATATAATTTCACGTATTTTGTCTTTAAAGCTATATGAAAAATGATAAAAACTAAACATATGTTGAAGCACTTGATGAAATTTTACGATATAAAAACGGTATAAAAGCACATGTAATAAAAATATATGATATTTGATTATTTTTATTCACGCTCTGTTTAACACAATTTCAATTTCTTTCAATCGCAATTTGTCGCACTCTATGTTATTCATGAATAGAGAAGCTACAAACCGTGTCATCTCATAATTGACGAAATCCATTGCCTGTTGCATTAATATTCGCTCACATTCATATTTTATCACATGTGAAATGCAGATGAGAATAATAATGATTGGAAAATTAAAATTTATCGACATCGGACTGTAACATATTAATTGTATTTGCTCCTCAATCACAGTAGAGAACCCCGATCTTTTGTATCAAGAACTGGCTTCTGACAACGAATTAGACAAATTAATTTACGACGGAGGTAATTTAAAACACGTACTTCTGAGCCATAAGTGAACGTTTTGTCTCTGATGCTTCAATTTTCATTTATCCTTGGTGCAAAGCATGCTGAAGATGAGACTTGTATTGTGTCAAATATCATCAATATTACAAATATAGAACCGGTTCCGTTATTATCGCAGAGAACATAACTTAATGTTATTCCTAATATACATTTAATAATGTATGTTAAAAATCTTATATACTTTCATAAGCATATGTTACATTTAGATACGAACTTTTATCTTATATTTAAGAAAGAAAACTGCATTTTGCTTTTTAATCGTGCATGTAGAATATTCATAATATTTCGCAGTGATTATTCTATCATTCTACAGCATTAACGGTTTAAAATATTTAGCGCGGTAAATTTTAATTTCT